ACCCCCCAGGCCCCTGGACAATGCGGGCATTGTCGGTGCGGAGAGTGGGTAATTCTGGCTGAATGGTACACGGGCCTCTTGACCAAGGAGGCCGCTCGCCGCCCCGATCTGTCCTCTCACACTCCAGGAGGGCCGGCCTGCCTGGGGGGCTGCGGACTGTGGGGGTCGGTCCCTGTGAGGGGCCACCGACGGGTCTGAGGGTCCAGCCGGGGAAGGCCGTTGTCACCAGAGGAGGAGGGGGGCAGCTCCTCACCATGGGCTCCTGGCTGGGGGGCAGCTCAGGCCCTGACCCGCTCATGGTGCTGCTGGTGGTCGTCCTGCTGGTGCGTTTCATCCTGTGGTCCTGCCTGGGGACCTACATCGACCACAGGCTGGCCCAGCCACCACCACAGCCCCGAAAAGCCAAGCAGGAGTAGGCCTGCCTCTTGGGAGGGTTTGTGTCAACACAGTTGTCCCTGGAGGGAGGGGCCTGGGGGCACACACCTGAGCTTATTGGTTTTGCTTCCAGCTAATGCTCTGAGCCTTCTTGTCCCCACTCCTTGGGGTTGACTGCTCCAACCCCTTCACGTCTGGCTGGGAACCTGACTCCATGTCCCTGAGGGCCGTGGAAGAGACAGAAGCTCAGAGAGACCCAAGATGCATGGTGCCTGCCCAGACTGACCAAAGCTGTCCTATGGGATGGCCACCACTGAGGGTGTTGGAGGGACCGTGACCAGTTGTCTGTCACCAGGTTCTGAATCCCCTGTTGCAGAGTGTCCTGGGGAGGTCTCTGGCTCTAAGACATTCTCTACCTCCAATTCTTCGTAAATGTGTTTGCAGGAAGAGGCTGGAGAAGACCAGGGATGTTGGCAGAGAGGTGACAAGGACACCTGGGTCCCCATCACAAGCCAGCCCTGTTGGGGTCCCCTCCATCCTAACCGGCCACCCCTGACCTCCTGAGGGTCCAGGCTCACAGAGCAGACCCTGGGGAAGTTCTCAAGACAGACCTGTGACACCCAAGTTCAAGTCCAGCCGTCCTTGGTCCCATGAAAACTGCCCATCAGGCATTAGCGTCCGCGTCTCTGAGATGGGCTGTGCCTCCCTCCTTCAGCAGGTCAGGGTGTGTGGAAAAGTCCCGGAGAGCCTGCAGATTCCCATGCTTCATGGAGGGCCGGTCTGTGGAGAAGCCAAGGGACCTGCTGGGGTCCTCTGAGCACCTGCGGTTTATCTGTGCGGCCAGGATGTGTCTGAAAAGATGGACAGGGCAGGGAAGTTCATTTGTGGCCACACACCAAGCACTCATCCTCTCCCCGTCACATGGACGGAGACTTCACCAACTCATTGGCCAGTTTAGGGTAGATTGGTGGTTCCCTGCCTGTCACAGACTTGAACCACTCAGGGAGATTGTGGCATATGTTGGCATCTGCTCTGGCCCAGACAGATTGATTTGTCACCTGTGGGCATCTGTGTTCCCTAGGGTCCTACCATCAGTTTCCAGAGCACAGCAAGGATTACCTCACCTCAGGAGGAGCAAGGAACCCAGAGAGGGAAGGATGACTCCCTCGTGGCAGCTTGGAGAAGCACTGGCCCAACAATCTCCCAAGAGGAGATGGGGCTGGGGACACAAGCTGCACCTCACTCCCTGGGACACTGTGGAGGAGTACGATTGCTTGCTCAGGAGACATGATTAGAGTTGTGTGGACACAGAATTCTCTAAGCGTTGGTGATGCTCGTGACTTCCAAGGTCATGGGTGTGTTTTGTTGGTCAAAACTGGGGTCATAAGTGGCCATTAGAGGAGGGCTGGAGTCACTTGGCCTGGGTCAAGGGACACTCAGAACCTACTGACTCAGGAGAACTAAGGTTGGAGAGCAGTGACTGTCCAGAGCTGACCAGCCGGAGAAAGTGTGATGGTGAGAGTCCAGGGGACAGTGTGAGATGATGGTTGTGTGGAAGGGTAGGGTCCCTGTTATTTGTCCCCTGAGCAGTTGGATTAGCTAGCACAGGGCAGAGCTCTAGGATCCCACCCTCTGGGTCAAGGACGGTCAGCCAAGGGGAGCTGAGGACTCTGCCTGAACATTCTCGCTGTGCTAGGTGCAGGATATTGCTACTGCTCTTTAAGAAAAATATTATCCAATTTTCTTTGCAATTATCATGCATGATTTGACTGATCTCTTTAAGGAAGGAAAATCACATTTGTTGTCATGAGCCGAAGCTGATGGAGTTAGGGAGGGCGGCTCTTCCAGTCTGCAGGGGACCGTCCTAGATTTAGAGCAGGAAGTCCCATTTCCCTGGGGAATCCAAAGCCCTGCACACACCAGACACCTGGGGTGAAGGGAAAGATATGCAGCTCAAACAGCACACAGATCTCACCCTGCCGGTTGTTCAGCAGCGTGTGACTCCTCTGTCACCTGGGCGTCCCCTTGATTATGTGGACCAGCTGAGCTTTCCCTGTTGCTCCAGGTATCTGGAACCCATGGGCTCCTGCTGGGATGGGAGGGGACACACCGTTCTGCCTTGGTTGCCTAGCAGAGAAGACAGGCTGAGGCTGGCCACCACTGTGAGGGCCCACCAGAAGATAGGGTTCTGCCAACCTAATGTGCCTCCCTGTTTCAGTTACCCTGGTCAGTGATTTCCTCTGACTTTTTTCTTGAGCTTACATTCATTTCTGTTACCAGCAAGTAAGAAAGCTTTCTGCAGCCACAGCCAACACCTACCGTCCTGACAATGCCTGGCTCAGAGCAGGTGCTCAGGCAGTGGGGGCTGAGCGAACACAGGATGCATCTGGGCCATCTCAGGTAGCAGCTGTGTTTAACTTCAAGTGACAGATGTAGATACCAGTGTAGATACCAGATGTAGATACTAAAACAGCGAGACTTTTTTCTTTTCTTTTTGTTTTACATATAGCAAGTCAGCTAGCAGTTGGTATTTCCAGGCTGTGGTATTGCAGCTCCATGACTTATCGTGGACTCCATCACTGCCACATCTGTTCTACTGTCCTTAGTGTGTAGCTTTTGTCTTCATGGCTACAAGAAGGCTCCCGCTACGTCAGGGATCTTATCTGAGCTCTAGGCAGGAAGAGAAAGGAAAGAGCGATAGGATGAATAGCAAAGTCCCCAGAAGCCTTTAGTTTTCCATCTCATGCACCAGAGTGATGTCACATGGCTTTCCCAGGGGAAGACATGGCTGAGACATGGCATTTGTTGTCTGTGCACACTGTCTCCCTGGATAACACTGGGTTTCTGTTATAAAGGAAGGAAGGCAGAATGAAGATCACGTAGGCAACTTGTCTCTGCCACTGGCCCATTGGTCATTCTTTGTAATGGTGGTCTTTTTCCTGGGCACTAGTTTTGGTGTCTTTTGTGATTCCCTTAGGTTCTGATTTTGCCCTGTCCGATCACCAGGAACAGCAGATGTGCCAGCGTCCCTTGGCAGGCAGTGCCAAGCCAGGGTCAGAGGTTGAAGCCTTCCATGGCTTTCCATGGACTCCTAAGAAAATGTTCCAGTGAGAAATCCAAGGCAGATCAGAGGTATCCCTTCTTACACACACAGGGAGGCATTTCTGTTTCCAGCTGGCAGCCGCTGAGGCAGACTGGCAGGAGGGAGGCGGACAGTGAGCAGCTGGTGGACAAATGACTGATGTGAAGGGCAGCAGTGCAAAGGCGCATCCAGATGTCCCTGCAACATAGTTCCTCCGAGTGAGGCTGAGTTTGGAGATAGGGAGATAGGCCTCTTGAAGGGGTGATGAAAGTGAGTGAGGCCACATGGCCTGGGCCCTAATGACAGATGACTGGTGTCAGGACACAGCCAAGTGCATGCATAGCGACAGATAATGCGGAGACACAGCAAGGTGACCATCGGCAAGCCGAGGAGCGAGGCCTCCAAAGGAACCTTGATCTTGGATCCCTGGCCTCCAGAACGCCAGTGAATACATGTTGTTGAAGCTCCCCAGCTGTGGTACCTGGTTAGGGCAGCCGGAGCTGATGAATAACATGGCTAAATAAATGTGATCATTTGGATAATGTAAAGCACCTGCTCTCATGGGCTTGCGGTGGGGAGGGAAGGACTATGGGTGGAGAGGTCAGGAGGAAACAGACATTCGCCCTGCCGGGCACAGGTGGTCATTGAGTGCAGGAAAGTGTGGCAGTGCAAGTGGAGATTCGCTGTGAATATAAAGCGAACAGCAACTCTGCAAGACACTGTATTGGGAGAGAGTGGAAAATCTCACTAATAATAGTCTTGTATTGATTATGCATCAGAATGGTAAGATTTTGGACACATTGATTTAAATAAAACATTGTAATGGGTTTTCATGTGATGGCGTTGGGCAGTGTTGTGCTGGACCTCAGTGGGCTGAGAGGGGCGGTAGTGGGTGAGTGCACCGGGAGCCCTGGAGCTGGAAGGGGGCTTCCCAGGGCAGGGTCTTCAGGCTGCTGTCCTCATGCAGCTGACGCAAGTCCTGCTGGGAGAGTCATCGCCTTAAATGCTTACATCCACAGTCATGAAAGGATGCTAGGAGGGGTCTATTAATCCCCGTTATAGGTTTCACGACGTTAAGGGAAAACACAGCTTTGGGTATACGGAAAACAGTGTTTCATGGAGCATGCCAGGAAGTGTGAGACCCCAAGCTTCCCGAGGGCATTGCCTAGAGGACACTTACCATTTATGAGGGGTTGGACAGACAGCCCCCATTTGCTTTAAGAGGTAAACGTAACTGTGAAAGCAGTTCTTGATATTGAAAAATATCTTTTTTAATACACCAAATACAATTTTATTACATTTTGACTCTGACTCTTAGAAACAAAACAAAACAAAAGAGAATGAAGGCAGATGAATTAAGCACCTGACTCAGTAATCAGAAGGACAGCAGAATGATAATACAAAGCCAAGTACAGATGAAGAAATAAAGAGAAGAGAAAAATCGTTATATTAAAAGGTGGGAGAATTCATGAATGTACTTAAGTGCTGGAGTTTTGAGGAAGAGGAAAAGGAAAAAACAATCACACATGTAAAAGTCTAGGGGAAAACAACTAGAGACACAAAGGCAAATAACCATGGGAAAGTGACTCTAGTGTACATAAATGATAGGAGACAGTGAAAGCATAGAAAATATGACTTCCAAGAAACAATTCCCAAATAGATGTAAATCCCAAGCAGATTAATCATCCTTGAAGAAACAGAAAATTGTCAGTCTACTTTCATTGAATACATTTTATTTTATCCCACCCACCCCCAGCCCTCTGCCTACCTTATGTACAAAGCTTTGTTTCCATTTACATTCCTTTAAAATAATAATAATAATAGCCAGGCATGGAGGCTCATGCCTGTAATCCAAGCACTCAGGAGGCTGAAGCAGGTGGATCAGAATAGAGTGAATTTGAAGTCAGCCTGGGCTACATAGTGAGTTCAAAGCCAGCCTGAACTATATACCAAGACCCT